GCTACCCAAAGGATACTTGGTATAAGACCGGAAGTCGTGAGCTCCTTGAGCCATATGTAAAAAAAAATCATGTCTGGCAATTTTCAAGTCAATGGCGCTCATAGAACTTTCCTCACTTTCGTGAACTTCTACACATGACTTTCTCGGAATGTAGCTAACCAACTGCTAGGTCTTTTTGATCATCGGATTCAGTTCATAGCACAGTTCTGTCGATTGGACTAAAAAAATAATTAGTGAAACCATATTTTTAACGATGAAACTGATCCAAAAACTAAGTCTTCGATTTTTGTATTTTTTTATATTGTTGCACCAGCTTGTCTCATCAGAGCTTTCGGTTCATTAGGTTAGGTTAATATGGTAGACCAATAAGCAACGCATAGACCAGTTTTGGTACTTTGCGATATCAGATGGAGTTCAGTTGCTAGGTCCATGGGGTGTAGTCATCACTTAGGATAACTGCGCTTGACCCGAATCTTAACAGTCTCTGCGTAATCACTATCGATACCTTCTCCAGTGTATCGTACCGTGGTAATCCCACGATGCTTACAGCCTAATCTTACCAATGGGGGACAAGTGCACAAGAGAGGCTCTATTGATTCCCTGGTACCTTGCTCTAGACATTTCCTGAAGTCTTCTCGATCTGTTAGCCCCATCCTGCGGGCATATGTCGCCCCCAGACAGTAACCAGTTAGTAATCCCATCATGTTCCCACAGTCTTTTCGATTTATTGTCAATAGTAATTTTGTGTACTTCCGATCTACCGTTTTGCACATAACTTTTGCAGTTGTGCATTCAGGTAGCTCGTTTTGATCTTCTCTACTATACTTCTGTCCAGATCGTCATAGGTTTTCCAATATTGATCACGTTTCCGGCTGTTGGCTGCAATGCAGGTGCAAAGACCTCAGCTTGAAATATACAGCAGTGGTCCAACAACCTTTTTCTATGCTTACTTTGAACTTTCTTTCCCACTTGAAAAGTGGGGTAATGTAGACGGTAACCGAGCTATGCTCGAAGGTTCTATATGTAAATTCTCCTGCAGCCAATAGTCGTTTCCTTTATCATGCTGCGCAGTTGTCGGCGAAGAGGTCTATGGTGCCAGGTTTAGTTCCAGTTCAAGAGCTACAGTTGGAGTTGTTCTTACAGCTGCCGTTATGCACAGCGGAGCGAGCGTCTGAACCCTTTCTATCTGTCTCTTATACACATCTAGATGTGTATAAGAGACAGGTTTAGTTCCAGTTCAAGAGCTACAGTTGGAGTTGTTCTTACAGCTGCCGTTATGCACAGCGGAGCGAGCGTCTGAACCCTTTCTATTGGTGCGATCTTGAGAGTGAGTTGTTTCCCATTTATAGAAGGGAACAACATCACAAATAACTTTGCGGATATATTTTAGTGCGCACAGAGCTCCTACAATACATACCAAGCCGCCCATTGGCATCAGCAGCATCACTTTTTTGTAACCCCCTCAAAAATATCTTCATTTAGCCGCCAGTGCACGTAAATATATACGTGTGTTATACCCATATTGCAACATATTCTATGATAGTTCCCTAAAGCTTCCATTGGGACATACAACACCCAAGGCAAGGGAATCCGTGAACGAAAGTATAAAAATAATTACTAGAAATATTTTCAGAATTTAATTAGAAATTGTAAAAATAAACCAAAATATTTATTTATTTCATTGAAATAAGATTATCAAGTAAAAATATTTAAAAATAATTTTGGAAATAAAACATTTGCGTAGTAATTTTCTAAATAAAATTAATTATTCTCAGCTCTTTTCAATTTGCTCAACGCGGCTGCAAAAGCAATATTGCAATTAAAAATATTTAAAAATAATTTTGGAAATTTTTTTATATACTAATAACGCTGCAGATGTACAGAATCTTTAAATAAAACATTTGCGTAGTAATTTTCTAAATAAAATTAATTATTCTCAGCTCTTTTCAATTTGCTCAACGCGGCTGCAAAAGCAATATTGCATACTCTAATTCACGCCTGCTCCAAATTGGGGGTCAATAATTCAATGCCTTTCAAATTGATTTTTTTTTCGACTGTTACTCTGCATGCGACAATCTGGCATTCCTCATTCATCGGTGCTATCGTTATCTGCAGCCATGTTGCCGCTTTGTCCTACTTTTTCATTACTAACTGTTTTAGTGCACTTACAATCAATGGTTATTCTGGCACTTCTGCAGTCATTAGCAGCGCATTCCTTCTCTTTTGCCACTTGAAACTGGTGGACCTGCATTTGTATTGAGGAATTTTCGGGGAGTTTTGGTGACACCAGCAGTCATTTGCATTACTCTCAAGTTCTTTGGTTATTTATGAAGGTGCATTGATTTGAAGTATAGAGCTATTGAAATGTAAGTAGGTGATTCATGGCACGAAAAATGAGAGAGAAGAGATTAGGTGAATGTGGAATACTAGTGAATAAAAGTGTTGAATTCTTCTAGTGGATTTGGTATGCCGCTTAGCACCAGATTGTGGACTAGAAATGTATATTTTTAATGACATCATAGAAATTAAACGATTCCTCAATCAATCTCCTTTATTGGCCAATAAATATGATATAAAATCGTTCAAAGCGGCTGAGGTCAATACTTGGGTATATGGAGGGTATATTAGGAGTCTTTTATACATATTTCGTAAGGTTAGGCGTCTCCTACTTCTTCTTCTTTGGCACTACAATCGTGAATCGGTCTAGGCCACAAAACTTCACCACTAGCCGCTGTCCCTTGAGAGTTCACGTCGGTTGTACATCCCAAGTGAAGGTAGGTCGTTACGCACTCAGTGGGTGGGTGCTCTTGCTTCGGGGTGTCGAATCGAAAGAGTTTTCGCCGTATCATCATTTTCCATGCGAACGACATGGCCTAACCAACGCATTCGTTGGATTTTTATGGGCTTAACTATATCCATTTCACCGCAAAGCTCATACAGTTCGTGATTCCATCATCTTCGACATTTATCGCCCTCGCAGACGACTGTGAATACCTTGTGGAGAACAATTGTCTCCAATGCTCCAACTCCTTCCTATCTCGGTTCGTCATGATGCATGTTTCTACGCCTTATAATAGGACGAGAATAATGAGAGGCTTCTGGAGCGTAATTTATATTCGTCGAGAGAGGGATCTACTTCTAATTTGCCAACCGATCTCAATCTGGAACCTGTTTGCAAAAGTTATTCTTCACTTGATCTTCAGACTTAGATTAGGTTAGGTGTGTAGCGGAAAGTATTTATCGATTTTAGGACTTTAGCCATTGAGTTTTTGGATTGGTCCATTTATGTTTAGTTGTCAATCATAAACGAAAAGATGGAATTCGAAATGGCGTTCTGTTGGAATTACGTTCTTCTAGAGACCACAGAAATTTATAGATCAAATTAATGTAGGTAAGTAGGTAGGTAGGAGTGCGGCCCTATTGTCTATCGAGATCAACTAGCACTTGGTGTACCATTTTGATATACTATTCGTTGAACCTCCTGTATCTGCTATTACGTTTCACCTTCTCTCTCAAACCATTTTGAGGCTTCGATGAAACCACTTATGTCTGATATGCTTTTAGTAGAAATCCATTCAAGGTTTGGTGCTTCATGGATTCCAAGTGTTTTGTGTCGGATCTGCGCTAGAGCTGGGCATTCGCAGAGAAAGTGGAAATTTGTTTCCTTGTTCTCTGCTACTCCGCAGCCTCGGCAGATGTCGTTGTTGGGCATACCCATTTTGGATACATATTCCCCTTTTTTACTTTTTCTTGACCTTAATGTAACGCTAAATAATTAATTTCAAAGATACTGAGACCACATCCACACACTTACACAGCTAGATACTGAAAAGAATGCTTGCTGTACCAATATACAAACATATGTAGTTGTAAATGAATAAGTGAGTAAATGATGTCAAGGCACATTCGCAAATATGCTTAGTGAATGCAACAATATGCATTTGTTCGCAGAAGTTATCGGCCATTAAGTGCTTTGTGCAACTTGGCCTTGTTCCTAATAATTGTCATCAATAGTCAGCACTCATTTGCCATATGCGAAGAAGCAATATTATAACTAGTTCTTTGATACGTAATGGTGATTGAAAAGCTAATTTCATATTATTATGTTCAAGTTGACTTATAAGTATAATAGCACATTGTCTTTCACATTAGATTACAAGAGGGATGAAAGCTTCTTGCAGCAAAAAAGATATATGTTTTCCAAACATAAGAGATCTGTGCTTCATTTCTAGGTTCCCTACTTATTTAGAAACAATCTAGATGAATTGGCAACTCTTGAATCTTTTCAGGTTGCGGCATTTCGCCTTCATCGCTGAACAAAATTTGGCTCGAAAACGTCGGATCTTCTTGGAACTATTCGGTCGAATATTATCCAATAATGTATGCTGGGTCTTAAGAATATTTTCTCGAATCTTTATTTTTGTAATTCCACATCGAGAGAGAATTATTATTCCGATGATTACTTCGGCTTTGGTGTGTATCAGTGAATCCATGTTTCGTCGAAAGTTACAGAGCAATGCAGAAACCACTTCATATTGCGCTTAAGCCACATGAATCTCTGCTGTAAAGTGATCTCACCATTGTGAATTTTGTTTGAAGTAAACAAATGCAGTAATCTTTCTGCCAACAGTTTTCTTATGCCCGTGTTTTTGCAGGATATGACCTATGCTCTGTTTTTAGTTACCCACTGTCACAGTTATCCAGTGCATCTTTAATCATGCCAACCCAAGGTCATATACTATTGAATGTGTAATTATTAAACCAAATTTTGACAGTGGTCAGCGAGAGAAAGACTCACTGTATACAACAGCTGCTCATTTTCTCTTTCAAAAAACAAAGAATTGCATCACCGACTGATATTGCTCTTTTTCCATTTTTCTAAAAGACACGTACTTGCCAGGCTTCTTAAGTCAATAAAATTCTACTAACCTGCTTCGGCTTAAATTTGAACAGAAACCGTCTAGGAAAATTTTTTAATCACTAGTATTTTTGCCTTGCAGATTCACTTTTGTGTGGCGAGACGGAGGCTAACAAATTGTGGGATTCCAGTCGTATACAAGAGGTATGTAGCAGATCTAAGTGACGAATTATCAAACTTTTCTAAAGATTGTGAAGAAATCGTTTCCATTCTTCCATTCCCAGTGTTAACAATTTATGTATCTTTCTAAAGAGTAACATGAGAAACTGTGGTGATCTCTAAGATATTCTGATTTTTGTTACCTTACGCCAAATTATTTTATTGTTTTAAATCTGGTTTAGAAATTAATTGAAGAAATACATGATTCGCGTATTTTACTATTCTATGGAGAAATCACATATTAAAGAACTCAGATCTCTGTAAACTTAGTATAAAAGATTTTGGTGTTAATTTCCTTTTTTGCGCTATAAGTTTCCATTTTCTTTTGGGTCTCGAATAATGTTGAAGATTCAACATTTGCTTCTTCTCTAATGTTGAGTCTCAATCAGCCGTTATACACATATCATACAATATATTGGAAAGTTTAAAACTGTAAAAATAATATGTAAGAACATCCATATATTATAACGGGGTTTTCAATAGTAGACAGTATTCAGATAGGGACAGCAAACGACGCTATATGTTTTCCTGCTTTTTGACATTTTTCTTCAGTAAGATTTGCCTTTTAATTATGGAATGATATACGATCCAACGAGTTCAAATTATTAAAAATTTTTACCGAAACTCGGAGTCAGTGGCCTCAACTTTAAGTGCGCAATGTCCAATTTATGGTCGTCTTAATCGTGCTGTCAGATGAGCAATTGAGCAACTAGTGAAAAAATTTTAATCCACAGGCACAGTACAAAATGTTCTCGTGCCAGTGAGACAAAGAAGAGCCCAAAATGACGAAAGTATTACTGCCGCTAGCTCATCAATTGAGTGAGATTCAAATAAGTCTCTCACACGACGTTCTCAAGTGGTGGGCATCTCTGTGACGTCGTTGTGGCAAAGATTTTGGTTTACATCCTTTCAAGATAAAATTGACGTAAGAACTGAAGCCGCTTGACCGTCTCCAGCGATGCGGCTCATTTCTGGCTAAGCAAAATATGCGTTATTGGTCAGGCCGCTATCCACACGTACTCCATGAGAACATTCAATAATAACTGAATATTTTTGGCCCGCATTGGATGATATGCATTAGGATAATATGTGGCTCCAACAGTACGGCATCACAAACCACACCACGAATGTCACAATCGATTTATTGAAAACAAAGTTTGATGATTTGACGCTGTTAGACTATTTCCTGTAGGGCTACTGCAAGTCTAAGATCTATGGCAACAAGCCAGTGACGATTGATTTTATTGACTAGGTTCAGCTTCTGGATTTCTGCAAGCATGTCCATGGTGGCCATGTAGCGCTCTTGTTGAAAAATCCATTAATATGAAACTGCATCACCAAAGTTGACAATATTTCGTGACGTAAGGTGCCGGGCTAGAGAAGAGCCTTTTAAAGGCTCCTCAAATTCTTCTCAGTAGATCGTGTTGAGAAGTTCTGTTTTAACAAATTTATTTAACAGTGGAAAAATATTTAATTATATAAAGATATATGTACTTATGTATCAAACCAAATCTTCGCTAAGATATCTGGATGACTCAATTTACAACAAAGGCATACGAAGTTAATTGCATGGAAGAGCGTCTGGTGCACATCGAGGGCTCATTGATGAGATTTTTTTTACATACATATACATACATACATGTATATATGGTTTTAATATCCTTTAGAACTGTCAAATATTAGCGCAAATAATTACTTCCGAGAATTCCGAAAAAATGCCATGCCATACGCCATGACTTGTAATTAGGAAGGAATGTGACAAACTTACGACAAACTTTGCAATAATTTCGGCGCACATTTGCACAATTTACACAAATATTTGCTTGCTAACGTTATCTATGGACGATTTCGCGACTTTTTGCTGCCAAATGCGAAAATAGAGCGCTTAGTGGCATCCATTCATTGCTAACCGAGAGAGAAGGGGTGGGGGCGGATGGGGGTAAAACTATGCGCATGTTTCTGCTGCAAAATGGGTTGTAAGAATCAACCATTGTTTGTGCAACAACAATAGCTGCACATCGTCGCCAACAACAAACAAGTACAACATTTCCACCAACTATGACAAGGACAAGAAGAAAACATGAATTCAAAACTTGGACGCGCATAAATGCTGGGAAAAAGTGTGCAACAGCAGCAGCAGCGCGCAAAGATAAGCGACACAAAAACCATCAGAAACCTGCCAGCGCAGAGGAAGATGTACGTACCTCGATTTTAAATGCAAGACGATGGCGGAGGACGCAGAGAATGCCATCAAAAGGGGGACGGTGCGTCGAGTGGCTGGTGGCCTTGCGGTTGTGACGCGCAGCAAAGGATAATGTGTAGCAGCGGCTGCGCTGAGTAGCACCAGGCGGCAGCAGCAATAACAACAATAAGCGCCATGAAATGCCGGAAGTACAAGAAATTCAATGAATGAAATTAAATGCATACTTTGTGCGTTTTTTGCGCCGCACACCATTCCTTCGCACCACATCCGCCGCTCAGCAGTTACCACAAGCGCTGAAGAGGCCGCATTGTATGGCTAAAAACTATGGAGTCAAAAAACAAAAAAAAAAAACAACATAAAAAGTAAGCAGCGACGCATTGAAATGCTCTAGATAAATGCACAACTGGTGCTGAGCAAAACGGCCGCGCAGAAAAGTGCAGTGGTGTAAAGCGTCTGTGGAAGGGTTGTGTAAGCGCCCTGCGTGGCCCCCTGTGGCGTGAGACTAAACGCCAGCGACCAATGAAGGAATTTGTTATTGTTGTGCAAATTTGTTCCCACTTCATTCTGCCCCGGCTCTGTTCAGTTATTTGTTGGCCATTGGGTCTGGCGTTTTCGCAGGTCAGTGCGCGCGAATAAAAGGCAGACGGTGACATCGCGAGCACAATTTCTTTCTTTGCGCGCTTTTTTTAAGCGTAGTTTAGCGTGAAAGTCAGCTTTTGTAGTTTTCGGTGAATCTGAATGTGAGCTGCGTGTGACAGTTAGAGAAATAAAGACATCGGTAAGAAGTGGTTAAGACGAGAGGGTTGCGCTTAATGAATACGTTTACATTTTTCGTTCTAATTTATTTGGAATAATAACTGATTTTTTGAAAAGAACTTTCTCAATGAGAAATTTAATTGTAATAAATATATTAAAACTATAATAATAACTGAATTTTGGTCGATTAGCATTTATGGCAGCTATATGCTATGGTGATTAGATCTGAACAACATGTTCGAAGTTTCTAGTGATGCTTTAGACAATAATCTAATGCCGACAGCACATTTCCTGAGCCTAACATTAGATCACCGCGCTGACAACCTACTTGAATCTTACCACCTAAGCGGAGATTAAATACAACAACAAACGGGTGTCACCGAACATTTTATACTCTCGCATCAAATACCATATTTGTGTTTTATTCCGCTATCATCATTGGTTCCTAATGTATATATTATACAGAGAAGGCATCAGATGGAATTCAAAATAGCGTTATATTGGAAGAAGGCGTAGTTGTGAATCGATTTAGCCCATATTTCGTAAATGTTATCAGGGTGTTAAGAAAATATTATATACCAAATTTCATTTAAATCGGTCAAGTAGTTACTGAGATATGGTTTTTGGTCCATAAGTGGGCGACGCCACGCCCATTTTCAATTTTTAAAAAAAGTCTGCGTGCAGCTTCCTTCTGCCATTTCTTCCGTAAAATTTAGCGGTTCTGACGTTTTTTGTTAGTCGGTTAACGCACTTTTAGTGATTTTCAACATAACCTTTGTATGGGAGGTGGGCGTGGTTATTGTCCGACTTCTTCCACTTTTGAACTGTATATGGAAATGCCTAAAAGAAACGACTCTATACAGTTTGGTTGGCATAGCTATAGTAGTTTTCGAGATATGTACAAAAAAGTTAGTAGGGGCCGGGGCCACGCCCACTTTTCCAAAAAAATTACGGCCAAATATGCCCCTCCCTAATGCGATCCTTTTTGCCAAATTTCACTTTAATATCTTTATTTATGGCTTAGTTATGACACTTTATAGGTTTTCGGTTTCCGCCATTTTGTGGACGTGGCAGTGGGGCGGTTTTGCCCATCTTCGAACTTAACCTTCTTATGGAGCCAAGAAATACGAGTACCAAGTTCCATCATGATATCTCAATTTTTACTCAAGTTACAGCTTGCACGGACGGACGGACAGACGGACAGACGGACGGACGGACAGACAGACATTCGGATTTCAACTCTACTCGTCACCCTGACCATTTTGGTATATATAACCCTATATGTGACTCTTTTAGTTTTAGGACTTACAGACAATCGTTATATGAACAAAACTATAATACTTTCTTTAGCAACATTGTTGCGAGAGTATAAAAATACCACAAGACTTTTTTGACAACCTATTATATTGTCAAATGAAAAAATTCTCCATACAAGTATTGATGTCGATTATTCAGTTTATATAGCAGCTTCTTGGGAAAAAATACTCCCATATACTACTATGACCAAGAGATAATATGACTTTATTTAAAATGTTTAAAACTCTAAATTTATTCTTCATAATCTAAAGCCCTCAATGCGCGAAGCGATAACCTTTTAATGTCTTCAATAGATTCAAAATGAATTAATCAGAGAGGTCGTTTGAGTTTGCTGAATAGCCAGAAGTCATGTGATGCTAAATCAGGCGAATGTGCTGATTGCAGCACAATATTGGTTGAAAACTCACGAAACATCAATGCAGTACTCGATGGTGCATTATCGTGGTGCAAAAACCAAGAGTTGTTGAATCATAATTCCGGCCTCCTTATACTAATAGCAACGCGCAAACGACTAATTACACTCAAGTAGTATTTCTCATTGACAGTTTGGCTGGTCGGAAGGAATTCGGAGACAATAATCGAAGAAACAACATAACTTTTATTTTTGATGCGCTTTGACGTGGTTTTTTAAACCTATCTTTACCACGATATTCGGCCCAATAATCGTTCATTTCTGGGTGGTATGCATAGATCTAAGATTAGTCGCTAG